CACTGCATCTTTTTCTCGTATCAATGAGATAATATTTTTTTAAATGCCGTCCACAAATAATGCAAACATGGAGGGCCAATCAGCAACGTCGTATGCAGGATATGCAGGGCCAATCAGCAACGTCGTATGCAGGATATGCAGGGCCAATCAGCAATGTCGTATGCAGGATATGCAGGGCCAATCAGCAACGTCGTATGCAGGATATGCAGGGCCAATCAGCAACGTCGTATGCAGGATATGCAGGGCCAATCAGCAACGTCGTATGCAGGATATGCAGGGCCAATCAGCAACGTCGTATGCAGGATATGCAGGGCCAATCAGCAACGTCGTATGCAGGATATGCAGGGCCAATCAGCAACGTCGTATGCAGGATATGCAGGGCCAATTAAAAAAAAAGTATTTCACAATTTTATTGCGGTATGGAATGATTGCCCTTTTGTCGTAAATTAAATAATGCTTGTTTTTTCTTCTGCAAGGACAGAGAAAAAAATGGAGGGGGAGATGAGAGAGGGTACCCTAGCTGAAATGAACACCCTAGTGTCCCCATGTACAATCCTAACATGGTGTTTTTGCCGAGCGCTGCTTGTTTTCCCCTGTTGTAGATTGCCTTCATGCTAACACGCTTATTCGACATGCAGCCACAGGGGTAAAAGCAGTTAGCAAATAATGTACATGTTCGCAGGACCCTGGGCCACTACATTTCTTATTGTATTAAGTTACACTGACGCCATTTTGGATCTGTTCTTTAGCCACTCTGGAGACAAACATGGATATAGATGGAAAGGGCAACAGCAGTGGCACTAAGCAAACCGCCAATACCAGGTGGGAAATGCACAGGAAATGCACATATATTGACCCTCTGGATCTTTTCATCTTGCCGTCTACTTGGAAGGCTGAACTGTGATCGGCTGCTGAGGTTTAGTTACAGATTTAGTACGGTCTCATTTGAAACATGCTTTGTTTAGGAGTGCTCGAGGAAGTGCATTATGGGGTGTTGAAAAGAAAGTAGAGCTGTTGTTTCTGAACAGTGTCTTCTCGTCTGATCACGCAACTAAACCGACAAACATAGAAGGAAAATTGTTTGGGGGAATTAAATAATCGCTGTCCAGTATACTCAATCATTAATCAGAATGTTCTAGAGACATTGAAACGCTCTCATCACTGCTTATCATAAAACTGACAATGTACTACTTGGGAATTCTGTATATCCAATCTTTTTTTTGTGTGTCTTATGTTCTTATAGTTTGTAAACTATATGTTTTAAGGGTACATCTTCTCATGCGTACTTCCAATCACGTGGTACCTGTGGTAGAACTATCGTATATGTCTGTCGATGACGTGTTCACATTTTGTGGCTGCACATCAAGACCGTCCAAAATGGCCGTCGTTCGGCGTCATGTGACAGTGATGGGGAAGTAGAAAGCCGGGACAGAGGGCGGGGCAGAATCACTCTGACTGGCGGCTTCATGCATTCGATTCCGTTAGAATGGCAGCTCGTTCACACTCAACTGAACGCTGTAGAATCGCTGTAGACGCGCTAGCGTCTCTCTCTGTCTCTCTCTCTCTCTCTCTCTCAAATCTCCCTTGTTTTTCTCACCTTCCTTCCAACTGGAACATTGAAACATCCTTGGTTCCTCGCTCCGTATGGCTTTCTCTCTTTTCCATCCTCTTGACCTCTTGTTCTCATATCCTTTTTTTGTTACCGTCCCGTTCTAGTTTCTGTAACGCTCTGTCTCTGTCTGTGTCTCCCATGTAAACGTGACACACACACACACACACACATCCTATGCATAATCATGCAGGGACTCACTATGGCCCTTTAATGAGCTGTCACAGGCTGCATATGAAGTCAGTCTCATATGGGGATACACAAACCCACATCCCCACACAGACACACACACACACACACGCACACACACTCGCCTTCCTAAAATCTGATAGCAGGGATGCCAAGTTGTCAGCTGTAAACACCTGAATGTTGTGGTACCTTGTCTTGCAGCCGGGCACTGATAAAACCTGATGAAACCTGGTGAAACCTGATAGTACCTGACAACCTGATAAAACCAGATAAAACCTGGTGAAACCTGATTAAACCTGATACTACCTGATTAAACCTGATGAAACCTGATGAAACCTGATACTACCTGACAACCTGATAAAACCAGATGAAACCTGGTGAAACCTGGTGAAACCTGACGAAACCTGATACTACCTGATGAAACCTGACGAAACCTGATACTACCTGATGAAACCTGATGAAACCTCCACAGCCACTGATCATATCTTCACCGGAGGGAAATGAAAACAAGTCACAGTATTAACTTCTTTCCTAGTTTTTTGGCTGAGCAGAGAGATTTCCAGAGATATATATTTTTGGTGCGCATAGTCAATACTGATTAATAGAGGGAGATCATGAATTGTTCTTCCAGTATTACCTATATCGGTCCGTAACATCAATACGCCAAAATGTAGAAATGTCAGTTAAACGGTACTGACACACAATGCCGATGCAAACCCCTGGAACTCTACTACCGCTCTCTCTTCTTCTTCTTCCACTCTGCTCCTCCTCTTCATCACCCCACCGCTAAACAGACTCAACAATACGGTCCACGTGGTCACGCAGATGGTCACCAGATGACCAACAAAGGTCACGCTCAGTCAGGACCACAAAAGGTCACCTTCAACCGCTAACGCATCGCCAGGTGGCCGGTACACCGTCGTTGGGCGTAGCCCCGTGCCATCGAGTCGGTCAAAAGTCTTCCGATCCCAGCAGCGTCGCGGAGCCCACATTCCTCGGAGTCCTCCCATAGCGGCCCGTCACAGAGCAGACGGACGAGCGCTCTCTCTCTTTCTAATGAAGGTCTCGGTTACAAAAGAAGGACCCGGCTCCCAAATACCACACTTCTTCCTCGCCCTTGTGTTTACCAAGGGCCCACATGTTTGGGGGTAGAGTAGTGTACTACGGAGGGAACGGCGTGCCATTCAGGAAGCCAGGGGGAGAGATACGCCACAGCTGTCCACTGGCCGACTTAATCTGGGAGGGTCCAGGAGCGTAGGGAACCGGCTCCTCCACTGATCCCGTATCAGCTGTTGACCGTCAGCTAGAGAGGGGATTAGCACGGGAGATGGCGGGGGGGGTTGTATTCCGTGTCCACCGGGGGTTTAGGCACAACACACGGTGTCATGAGTCAAGCACCTGTCAGCGTAGTAGTCATTTGATCGTGGAGGTGGAGTAGTAGTAATGGTAGTGGTAGTGGCGTCAGTAGTATTAACAGTAGTAGTAGTAGCGTCTGTAGTAGTAACAGTAGTAGTAGTAGCGTCTGTAGTAGTAACAGTAGTAGTAGTAGCATCAGTAGTAGTAGTAGCGTCAGTAGTATTAACAGTAGTAGTAGTATTAACAGTATTAGTATTAACAGTAGTAGTTGTAGCATCGGTAGTATTAACAGTAGTAGTAGTAGCAGCATTAGTAGTAGTAGCATCAGAAGTAGTAGCATTAGTAGTATTATCAGTAGTAGTAGTAGCATTAGTAGTATTATCAGTAGTAGTAGTAGTAGTAGCATCAGTAGTAGTAGCATTAGTAGTATTATCGGTAGTAGTAGTAGCATTAGTAGTATTATCAGTAGTAGTAGCATCAGTAGTAGTAGCATTAGTAGTATTATCAGTAGTAGTAGTAGCATCAGTAGTAGTAGCATTAGTAGTATTATCAGTAGTAGTAGTAGTAGTAGTAGTAGCATCAGTAGTAGTAGCATTAGTAGTATTATCAGTAGTAGTAGTAGTAGCATCAGTAGTAGTAGCATTAGTAGTAGTAGCATCAGTAGTAGCATCAGTAGTAGTAGTAGCGTCAGTAGTATTAACAGTAGTAGTAGTATTAACAGTAGTATTAGTAGTATTAACAGTAGTAGTAGTAGTAGTAGTATTTATGTGAGGAAACATGGAAACTGTATGCGGCTATCATAGCAGTGCTTATTCATCGGTGTATTGCTAATCATCACTCATAAAAGTACACAGGCGTCAAAAGCCTAGCGGCACTTGAGCTACTCTCTACACAAACAAACAGCTCAGGTCTTAACCCGCTCTCTAAAAATACCACCTCCATTCCTGTTTAGAAACCCCTCAAGTCGTCCGTGTACAGCAAAGCCCTAGCACAACGTGACATACCCGGGGCGACCATCTCCGCGTCAAGGGGAACAGAAATGCCTCGAACGGGCGGCCATTTTGGATAGATAAGCCCCCGCCCCCTCCCAGACAGAATGCCAACAATGGTGACTTGTCCGACCTGTTGTCAGCTGATGCCAGTGTTGATGAGGACCAAGCCCAATGCCACAGGCCTACGCCTCGCGTTGCACATTCTTCTATCGGGCCCTCGAGGAAAACAGACACATTGGGGAAGGCTCGGGACCAACGAAACCACCCAGCTTACTCCCGTAGACCCAACGGACTTTGTTTGACCTGGTCCCGTCACTGTGCCTTAAAATACGATGTTATTGAACTGTCGTGTGTTGTTGTTCGTTTGGTCCGTTGCATTCGTGTTTTTAGGTTGAGAGCGGAGATTGACGGCGGGTGATAATGGCGCTTTGTTGTCGAGACTGAGTCGGGCATTTAATTGTATTTGCTTTTTAATTATCTCACTCATGATAATAATTAGCATAAAATATAATTATGTTGTTGCCTGCTTTGGAGAAGAAAACAACAAGACTAGCCTCGTATCACAACACTTCACATTTTAGTCATTTAGCGGATGCATTTATCCAGGCTGACTTATCAGGTCAATTGTGGTCTACAGTTTGGCTTACTGAACAACACATTTTCAACTTTAGTTCACTGCTCGCAAACTTCAGCCAGAAAGCCTCACCCCAAGGTGGACCGTAGAATACAATCACGAAGTACAGAGGGCTGCCATGCAAAAGGGTTAAATTATTCTGCTTCAAATCTTTTTATTTAACCATTGTTTAACCAGGTAGGGCAATTGAGAACTAATTCTCATTTGCAACGGCAACCTGGGGAGAAGCTGGGGATTGAAGCCTGGACCTCATACATACAAAGCATATAGCACTCTACCACTGAGCTACACCAACTGCTCATGTATGACGTATTTACAGTTACTTTAATTACTTTCATAGAAGCATGCGTTTTATTGTACATTTCTGAAATGTACCCTGATTGCTTTATAATTAAAACCACATCTTCTTGTTGTAGCAGAGTCACAACTTGCCTCATCTAGTTATAGAAATCATACCCGGTTAATACTAACATGTTAATTCAGTTTGGCACTAACCAAAGGATTCCAAAGGAAAAACTTCCAATTATCAGGAAATATGTCCGGTTCCTATATGTAATTCTCGGAACTCGGCAACCGCTAACATACGGGCTTTTTAAGAATCTCCATGCTTCCGATTTAGCATTCCTCACCATTTTCCCATGTCCTCGCCCTTTCCCTGGGACTTCCGAAAAGGGCAATATAATCCGATCTCTATGACAGCGTCATCCTTAGCTGTTCCTATAACCAGAAATAATAACATTCTATTACGAAACGGCTGGTTTGTTTCCTGGATGCTGACAAATAGCAGGGGGCTGTTTGACACAATCTCCTCGTGGCCCGCGGGACGTCTCTTGAATTTCATCGGATTAATCAAGTAGAATCCGCCGTTCCGCGGCTCGCCGGGCAATCATCAACAATACTCCATGCTGTTCCCTGTGAATATGACAGCACTCTATGCTTCTCTCACCTGGGCAGACTCATTTATCAATGTCCTCGTTTCCTCTGCAATATAAGTCATGGCGGCGACTTGCATACCGGCTAGAACGTGTCTCTCCGGCGGTCCGTCTCCGTGGAGAACGTAATCCCGATCCACCTACGTCTTTGACTAGCCTGCTTTAACCCGGTTTCGGGTGAGCGTGCTGTGTATTCGGTGACACGCTATAGCTCTCGGCTGTGCATCGTTTCGCCGTTGTGATGGACCAGGGATAATAGACACTGGAGCAAGTGTTGCTGGGAGCTCGAGGATCTAGTCGCGCCGCTGCTCTCTTTATTCCCGACAGGTCATCGTTTTTGGAACTTTAAAGCGATGGAAGAAAAGTATACGTACGATATGCGTGTGTGTGTATACACAAATGAGATAAAACGTTACGACCAATCACAGGCGGAAGTGAATAACCTCGATCATCTTCTAACAAGGACACATGTCGTCTTGGTCAGAGCATCGCTGAAACGGCAAGGCTTATAGGGTGCTCCTGGCCAGCAGTGGTGAGAACCTACAGACAGTGGTCCTGAAGATGAACAAACCACAAACCGGCGATAGGTTGTTGGTCGGCCAAGGGTCATCTATGTGCCAGGGCGACCAAAGCTTCTGTGTTTTCCCACACGGGCCCGTATTTAGACACTAGAGGTAGAGACTTATATTGAAGCTCACCGAGAACTCAACTTTTCCTTCTGATAATTTTGAAATTGCCGACAGTTCGTAGGTCATGAAATACCTAACACAATGTAATCATTTAAATTGACTTGTAAATTATAAAAATGGCTAAAGACATGTTCAACCTCGATGTGAAATGTACACAGTAACACACACCGAGATGTAATGCTCGACATATACGATGCCAGTAGACAGGTTGCGATAAACACAATCACATATTCAATTATTTCAGCTTTTTGACTTTGTGCAGAACATTGAATTGCTTTAATGTATGAGAAAATGAATAAACTTGCTTGCCTGCTATATCGCGTTTGACCTAACTATTCTTTAATCGCAGACACAAATGAAACGGGCAACCTCTTCCCTAATCTTCGGTTAAATGAGGATTTAGGGGTCTGGTTCCTAGCAGCTGAACGTACACAGCCCTCCCACCCGACAATCACCTACCCACCACCGCTACCGTAAATAGCATTTTCCGACGGATCCCGTTTCGTCGACACGCACACTGTGTGGTGTTCAGCCGAGATCTGATTCCAATTCATCCAATGTCTGTGACTTTAAAACCTGATACGTACCGCGCCGATCGAACCGAAGGGCTGGGTCTCGAAGACGCGACCCCTCATCCCGTATGTCGCGAGCGAACACGTGTTTCGCAAACTAACTATCAGTTCACATGTTTCCACGCCTTCGTGAGAGATTGAAGGTATGTCGAGAGAGTGCACTGTGAAATGTGTCCCCCTTATTCAGCCCCAGACAACCACCTGGATAACTCGAAAACAATAAGAAAAGTCTTTCATTTTGAATGGATCATGGGGTCAAACATCGGTGTGCTGTCATTTACACTTTACTGTCATTTACACTCTTCACTTTTACTGTCATTTACACTCTTCACTTTTACTGTCATTTACACTCTTCACTTTTACTGTCATTTATAGTCTTCACTTTTACTGTCATTTACACTTTACACTTTTACTGTAATTTACACTTTACTGTCATTTACACTTTACACTTTTACTGTAATTTACACTTTACTGTCATTTACACTTTTACTGTAATTTACACTTTTACTGTAATTTACACTATTCAGTAGATGAACAATGTTGTCAGTGTGTCTTTAGAAAACGCAGGCGTTACTTTTTTTTCTGTTCCAGCAACAGTTGGTATTTCTCCTAAGAGAGATCATTTCATACGGGTAAATGCTTTACGAAAAAAGAGAGATTTTCCCAATAATCGTGGTTCCGTGTGAGGGGACTTTGACCACGGATTTTTGACATTTACCAAAGATGGCAAGATGGCACTTCCAAGAGGCATACTTTCCATAGTTTCAAATTCATTTAATTCGCTTGGCTGGTGCTCGGATCAGAAACACAGCTGGAACTGTTAGGTGTTTACTTCTGGAACGATTTAAGATTCCCTAAAGACCAGTCTGCTTATGCTTGCTTCAATTTAAACCGATGTTTTTAAGATATGCAGAGTACGATGTTTACATAGACTCCATACTCCGCCTCTTGCCATAATAGGATTTATAAAAGCATATTAGTGTGCATGTTATCCTACTCACAGCGCCCAGAGGCCTACAGAACAGTCTTCTTCACCTGAGATGACTTACCCCCCAAACATAGTCTTTTCTCTTTCTCCAGGTTCCACCCATCTCGGGGACCAGACGGTACGGGTTCCGTCCAACCCCAGCTCTCCCTCCTCTTCCCCCCATACCCCAAGCAGTCTAGCCCTGGCCCTGGGGATCGGGAACTCGGACCCGGTCCTGAACGGAGGGCTGGGAACTTCCTGCACTGGGGCGTACTGCGGCAGCTCTGCCGGAGGTCTGTACCTTTTTCCAAACTCCGCTCGACCAAACAACCGGGCACACCTCAGGGGTCGAGCAGCGGGTAAAGATGGAGGCCGTCGACGGCTGATACGGGGCAGATCATGGTAGATTGCGGGTCGAGTCGGCACACTGGCTTTCAAGAGGGCATTGGTGCATTGAACCAGGACATACAGTTTTGTCTTCTGATGTGGTCTAATACAGGGAAGCTTCCTTTACAGCGGGTTTGTAGTAGATGAGCGTTGTAGCGTACGTGATGACCCGAATGGTTTTGCTGCTCGGACACTAACGTCTTGGTTCTTTTCCTTCGCCCCTCTGACAGGAACGAGCCCCAGCTCTCCGGTCAGCCTCCCCAAGTCGCCCACGTTCCCGTCGGGCAGCACGAGGGGCCCCGGGTGGCCGTCCGGCGACGAGTGCTCCATCTGCTACGAGAACCTCGTGGACACGGTGATCTACGCGTGCGGTCACATGTGTCTCTGTTACGCGTGCGGCGTCAAACTCAAGAAGATGTCCAACGCCTGCTGTCCCATCTGCCGGAGACACATCAAAGACATCATAAAGACGTACCGCAGTACGTAAGGGGGTCTCCCAAGCACCACAAACCCAAGTTAATTTGAGGCGACCTTAAGCAAGATACTTTTTTCAGTTCAGGGGTGTGGACAACGGACTCGCCACTTTCTGGTACTTTTTTGTGACCGATTTTGGGGGAAGAATCGACAAATGCCGCTTTTATTGTAGGTTGATGCTTGACACTGACGCTCAGTCTTCTGCACTTCACACTACCCTGTCTAATGCATTGTGGGATGCCTTTTTGAAGCAACGGAGGGCACGCAACCACCGCAGTAACTTCCTCTCAACTAGTGTCGGTTCTTTGTATTTTCCTCCTACAATTCAGGAAGTTTCAGGCTTTGAGGAATTGAAAACGTGAAGTAACATTTTATTTTGTTGTTCTGGCCTCTTCGAGCCGTCCCATGCAAGCCTTTCTCACTTGTGTGAAAGCGAAGGAGGTGGCTTCGATTCAACATTTTCGGTCTGGATGCTAACTATTTTTGTTAAAGAGAAGTGGGCAGTTAAATTCCGACAGTTTTGCTCATTATCGTGACAAATCAACAAAGAAATGGCCAGTATTGCCGCCCCTTTTCGAACATCTCAATATTGCACAACTTGTGTCTGTTTTTTACTGAGGCAAAACTGCAACTGCAGAAGCAAACTGAAGTCCTAGTTGTTCATCGGTGGTGATCGGAGAGAGTAATGGTTTTCTGCATTAGGAAGATGACTACCGGTGTAGTTTAAGTTGTGAAGCTCCGGAACATGAGTACATGGTATGTACATAAATGTACGTGCGCGTGTGGTAGTTATTTCCAATAGCGTGTTCATTGGTAGCTGTACTGTTGCACTAGATAGCCAGCTAGCTGCTTGCTTTGCCGTGTCGTATGTTGCATTGAAGTCAGTATTGCCCTCTGGGAAAATGCCCCATCGAAACGTGAGAGGATAACAATTCTTCACGACGTAACGTAACGGAGAAAACAATGTCACTGGCTGCCTAAGCATCTGATCGCAGACCGACTCTACGTCACGTGACGGGAAGCAGGAAGTGACGAAACAGCGACGCAATTTCCTCAGGTTCAGCTGTTTTAACGGGCCCTAAAATAGGGTACATTTTCTCAAACTGCAGCCCAATACACGTTCACCTGGTTGCAGAAGTCCCGTCCCTCAAATGCACTCGCACACTGTGGCCGTGTGATTGTCGCCGTGGTAACAGCTGTCCCCATGGCAACGAGGACAACATGCGACGAAAGTTCTTTGATGAATGAAACAATCATTTGTTACGTGTGAACGT